CCTCACATCTACTGTACTGCATACTGGGTGAACGCTGTAGTTGTCTCAGGTAGCATTTTGTTGTCTTATGTCGGTGTGCCTAACGGAAGATCTGAAATTAACATGGTTGATTTATTCAATGGTTTGTCACGTGGTATGAATCCAAAAGCAAAAGCATAGGCACAGATTTACTTTCATCAAGCTATGGTATTTTGCTCAAGCTTGATGTGTGGCTCAGATTTCCATTTATCTGAGTAAATTCCCGGTCACAGCAATTGAACAGAGGCTCAGTTCGCATCTAAGCCAAACTCAAAAACATGAAAAACTACATGTGTTTATGGATCAAAAGTTCGCTTCCTTTTTCTGGACAAGCATGCATGCTATGCTGCTACGTATGGTTGTGTCTTTTTGTATGAATAGGTCGGTGGTCGGTGCGGTTCTTTTCAAGTCACTGAGTCACTGACTAACCTACAACACACAACCAGCAAACGGAGGGATAGCATTTAAGCAGACCAAGATATGAAAGTACAGTACCTATTGGCCAAACAAACAGGTAAGAAGGCAATTGATTGTGATTATGATAGAACCACATCACTGGACTGCAGGCTTCTCTGAGACGGCCTCTTGGTCCACCACAGGTGTTGAGAAACCTTTGGTGAAGCCCTGGCAGACTCTGTGGCTTTCTGATGCTGGCAGACAATTTCTGTATAACTGTTGACCGCAGCTTGTTCAGATACAAGCAAGTTTAGGTGTCACTCTTTTGTATTAATTTAGGTGTTGACCGCAGCACAACGACTCAAAATGTCCACAGAATCCATTCGCATTCGACGAGCGGTCCTTGAAACCCAGCTTCAGGCGATCTAGCGGCCTCGGAGCTTCCAATGAAGTCAAAAGATCGCTCTACCGGTATCTTCTGAGAGATGCTTGGCCGATTCTGTGACGGGGAATTCCATGGGTTGAAGATTAAGCAAGTGAGCGGGGGTCCATGTCCAGGACATTTGACCCTTCAACAGTAAATCAATGCAGACTTGGTTTCAGGGTCCTATGAAGCCCCTGATTTCCAGCGGAGTATTTGTAGGTGGACATGTTTATCATCTCATCGGCATCAAAAGCTCTTGCTTTTATCAACTTGATCCTCCCATAGTCTCCGTTGCACCAAATGCATCTCAGTAGGACATCTATTGCTCATCATATCCAAAACGACGCCTGAATTGAAGAAAAGCCTTTATCTAGAAACAAAATGAGGAGCAAGCGCACTGTACTTTCCACCCAATTCCTGCCCTCAGTCAAGGCCATCGCCCAGCATTCTCCGCCTCTGTAGGCAGTATCTAAAAGCAAACCAAAATGACTGTCTTTTTGCACGTCGTCAAAGTTGTGCTAGATTCCAATAAAACACCTGTGGAACCTAGCAACTCCGCACTTGACTCGGATGTTCTTGTTTCTGGGCGTTCACCTAGTCAGCTATTGACATACTACATGCCAAAGCAGGCCTGGCTGCTTGGTGTCTGGCTGGCCATTGCCAGCCCTGATTGAATTTTGTTTGCAAGTGGACTCTCAGGACCACCGTGGAAACATGGTACAGTATCTTAAACTATATCTATGAGTTCAAAGGTTCAAAGTGACAAACAAGCATCTGCTTGGAAGAGCCGCGGGTGCAGTATCGTGTGGATGTGTGTGAAGAAAATGTTTGATCCTTTCCATTGCATCGGATTGAAAAGTGAGAGAAAAGCGTTGCCATCAATGATCAAGGTTTGATTGCATGCCAATGGCATTGCTACAAGCTCCTGAAGAGCACAACTCTCACTAGTTGATCAATCTTGCAACAGCTCGCATCCGCTCGTAGTAGACTTTTTAGCAATATTCGCATTGTAACTTGTGACCTCTTGGTCCAAGCAGCGCCTACATGAACATGTCTGCTAGGGCACAACTTATGAACCCAAAATGTGAAAACGTGCGGTATTGGAACAATTCATGGGTTGAGGTTGTTCTACCAATTTGAGCGTGTTTTACAGTACCCAAAATGTTTGAGCTATTGACCACACCTGTCATTGCCTATCAAGCTTGTTCACAAAGCCTTGCAGTGCACCTTGTTTTCTAGATGTTTGATGAAGGAGACACCTGCGGCCCGGGGCGTCACTTGTCACCACCGCCGCCACCACTGCCCTGAAGGCTACAACGAAATGTCGCAAGGCATCACACGCTCTTGGAGCCTTGGTTTACTAGCCTTGGTTCGCTCCCAACTTGGCTCCCAGCCTTCCCTCTTCTCTTTCTCTTAGAGGTCGACCTAAAGCTTGCACGGCCACACTAAGGCTTTACCCTCATTCCTCCTGAGCGCAAGCGCTCAAATGTGTTGCAAGACGTTCACAACATGTCATGTTTCAATTGCGCTAAGGGGGCAAATAGAAGTGTATTGCCACTGCTTGCTGCCGAATGTTGTCCCTTCCACACATGTCTCAAAGTCATCCAAGGTGCGAAGTGCATCAAACTAGCATGCCAAGACACCCCGTGGGCTTGTCGCCAGTGCTGAAGCTCTTTGGCAGCTTAAAACCCTAAGCAACACAAGTTCTAGTTGTGTCCAATCTGCTTAGAAAAGGTACATTAGAACCTGCATCATACACACTCAAACAAACGTGGCCTAGTCCAGGAGTTACGCGGGTCTTGGGAGGGAGGGAGGGAGGGAGGGAAGGGAGGGGACAGACGGCCAGCCAGCCAGAAAGACACAAAAACAAACAGAAATACATATTAAGATGTCCCTGGCCTGTAGGATAGAGACAGCCGCCGTTAACTCCTTGAGAAGAGTTTGACCACTGGATGAATCTCCCACAGAATCTCCGTGAACCGATGCAGCTGTTTGCGAAAAAGAGCTGACGAGTGGAAAATAAGATTCAAAAAAGGCAGGCTGCTGGCATATATATAAAAAGCAAAACTTGGAGATGCAAAATATACCTCAGCCAAAAGAGCTCCTGCATCTGCTCGATCTCTTTTGCCATCCGAGCATTCTCGGTTTCAAGTCTAGTAATGTCCTGCAAGTGTCTTTCAACTCAAAGTACTACCAAATTAAAACAATCATCAATTGAGTTGCAGTCAGTGCTCTGCTAGGGCCATTAGCTCAACGATCCAAATGGGCGTCGTTGAGATCCACAAGGTAGGTGTTCCACTCTCACACAGCCTACTCTATTTTCATCACAACCCATGCTTGCTGTAACTTTGTCCCGGAAGCAACACGGCCATGGAAAGGTGAATTCTTTGGGATGGAATTCGGCAACAAGTGAAAAGCCATCAACAAGTCCCCCTCATTCACCCTTAAGACGAGGGTGCAGGAATTCGGATGATGTAGGCAATGTAGGCCATGTAGGCAAGCACTCACAAAACGAAGCTCCTTTGACGCGGTTGCGTTCTTGTCCTGCAAATCCCGTGGCCAAACTTTACTGTGATGGTCTCTACAATTCACTCATGAGCGGGAAGTGAGTTGGGTGGGCCAAGAGCCTTCAACCTGATGTTAGCTGCCTGAGCACTCTCATCGAGAAGTTGTTCCTGAAAATCCAATACATTAGGACTGCGTGTGATATCGACTCCATATTTCAATGCCTTTGAGAGGCTAACTGTTAGCCACTTGGGAGCCAAACAATGCACTCGGGTCTCTCTTGTCCACACCAAGCGAGACCGTGGCACCTCCCCGGGTGGCGCCTTCACCACCTAGAACTCGATTCGGTTTCAAGTGACGTTTTCCTCTGTCCAAATAATGCTCTGAAATGCTGCTCTGATGTGCTTGTGACACCACGCATCTGCTGAAAACAGACCTCGTGTAGCCAATCCAGAAGCAGCTTGGTTTGCTTCTGGCTGAAGAAATGCTGATTTTGCCTCAGAGTCATGTCCAAGATCGCAAACAGCCAAGCCAAAGAATTCAAGAGGACCATTTGAGCATGCTTCGCAAAGGTCTGGACATTGTAGCAAGAAGCGCAACATAGTCATAGTAAAAGTTGGGATCTTTGTCGCACCTGAGTTGTTCTCGAGCTCACTGAACCTGTTTTCGCTATGTCTGCAATGAAAGAGGGGACCATCTCTTGCAAAGGTTCTTGGCACCCATGCTTTCCGGCAGAGTACGCCTTCTTGATCTTTTGCACTGCCTCTTTCTCGGGCGTCAGTGACACATGTTGAGAGGCGACTCCGCCTCATCTCCCATTTCTACCAGCCTTGAAGAGCAGGCCCGTTGTATTCTCATCCAACGTGTCCTTGTGTTGGGAGTTGCAGAAAACATCTCTCAAGGTTTCGAAGCTTGCACAGCATCAAAGAAGCTGAAGGTATGTTTTTTGTCCTCTTCTGGTAGGTTGAAGATGGCCTCATTCAACCTCTAACAGCAACTCATTTCGGTGGCCTTTGCTGTTTAACTCCCTATTACCCTAGAGTTTCTCGTGACCAGACTCACCAAAAGCGGACAAAAGCGCAGGCCTGTAGATGTCCTCAGCCGTGTAGCTCCTGAAAAAAAAATGATTTCGCAGGCCCATTTCAAGACTCAGTTGGAAATAACGGTCTGTTGGGAGGACTTTTCGACTTGTGAGATGATCATCTACCAGCAATTCAGCATGAGCATCTCCCAGTCATCCCAGTCCCATTCTCTGAGCCAATGGAATCGAGCACGGAGTTCAGGTACATGGCTCTGATGGCTCCAGGCTGGCGCCAGCCTTGCGCCACCGGCGCACACCTGTCCAGCGGAAATCAAGACACCACACAATCACTGCATGTCGCTGTGTTTCACCTGTCCTCCTGTCAATGAAATATGGTGTGTGTAAATATGTCTGTTGGATTTCTCTACGACAGTGAGGCACTCAGCTCTCAAAGAAGGATAGGAACATCAAGTTAACTTCTCCCGCTCTTCATGCTGCCTGCCTCGGCTCGAACCCCCAGAGCCCAGTGGCTTTGGACCAAAGATAGCGTTCACAAGTGCCGACAAACATCTGAGAGGATGGATGAAAAAACTCTCAGCTGGCATCCCCAATTCCCAATCTCTCAGCTACCTCTTTTCCCCCATTGGCACCTGCGGTGTAGAGGGTGAACCCCGTACATTGCGAGTCAGTCTGACTCACAGAACAGCCCGAATAGGCTAGAGTGATGTGGCATCGGAAAACATCTCTGCAGCCTACAACAGAATGACTTCTTCAAGCTTCCGGACAAGCTCTGCCCGAATTGGTCTCGGACCTTGAACTCAACCCATGGAGAGCCCGTTCTGAGATCCAACTGAAGCATCAAGGTCGTAGAGACACCTTGCAACAGCTTTAAGGAGAACAGCTCATACCACCAAGATCACGTGGGGGCGAGAGACCTCAGGCCAGGCTGAGGAACCCAAACACATCCATTTTCCCACCCAAACACTGAAAGCTCCATCAAGCAAGTTTGCTTCTCTTTGTCTCCAAGTCTCTCTCCCTCTCACTCTCTCTCCCAAATTTACAACCAAAAGTGTGTGTGTGTAGAGATAACGTACCCGGTGTACATGCAAATATACATATAAATACAACAACTCCGAGGACAAAAAGAACGTTGCCACATGTGAGCTCATTCTGACTGGCGCTGCCATTCCATTTTAACGACCACCGCTCACATTTCAAGCGCTACTATTTTCTGCAGTTCGGCCATCCAAAAAAAACGATGCAGCTTCAGTTAAAAAAATATAAATAAAAGATCGAAAAACACAACCTTCCGTTTCATCTACTCTTCCAGCGACCTGGTTGTCTAGACTCTTGAACTTGGAAATACTTGGAAAAACTGTGAAAATAAAACCTCAAATCCCTGCTCTGCTTGGACTCCATGCAAGGGGAGCGCTCCAATGCTTCTCGTGCGCGCCTCACATCTGCGGACTCGTGACTTGGTCACCAAGTGACACTTGGACATACGGCCTCCAACCTCCAACCTACTAGCGATGGCCTCACATGAGATGACAAAGGATGGCCTTGTTGAAGGGGCTCTCGCCCATTTTTCTTCGAGGCACGGCACATGAAGTGAGTGTTTTGACACACAATGCACAGTTCTTGTTGAACAGCGCAGCAGCTCGTAAACGCGCACACCATGAACAGGGTGCGCTGTTCGGGACCTATTGATTCTTTGGAGAACTATGGCAAGAAAAGCAATTGGTATCTTGAATCTTGATCACTTGAATCATGGTTCTCCTGACTGCTCGACAGCCAAATTGACTGAATTGTGAAGGTGGCCCATCCGCTCACCATTGGATTTATCCCAAGCTGAACCACTTGTGGACCTCTTCGCAGTCCGGTCTGTTCCGGATGATCTGCGCTCGAGCAGGACGTTTTGAACGTGTCTGCTTCAAGAGCACACCGCTCATGTTGGAATGGATCAGCGCTCTCAGCACTCAGCTTGGCTTGCCAAATTAGCGCCCAGCGCTCCTAGCCTTTTCAATGTTTGCTTTGGAGGTTTGGAACAGCGTCACATTCAACTTCAACTGTGCAGTCTTGGAGTTTTGTCTCCAAGTAACTGGAAGCTAGCTGCGTTTGACCTCGCACACCCAGACCCTTTGACACAAGTTTATACGTACTATTATGTACTTGTACGGAGGAGAGAGGTTTGTGCTACATACTGGTTATTCGCTCGTGGTGCAAGATCGAAAAGCAACCTACAAGAGCAGCGTCCAGCAGTGTACTGTCACTGCTCTGCTTGGCAGAGACTGCACTGCACACAGCAAGTGTTGCCCTCTGCAAACTCTGCTCACACTGTGGAAAGGCACCTAGTTGATGACTCGTCAAAAGCAAGACTAACTAAATAACTACCTGGCTCTGCAGTCCTGTTCAGCCAATTAGCTTAATGTCTATCCACTCCCAATCTTTCTGCAACCTTGGAACAAAGCTTTCACTGTAAAAATGAAAGCGCTGTAGAAAATGGCCACATTCCTCAGATCACAGGCAAGAGGCAGGTGCGCGCTCGGCCAAGAATGAGTGACTATGTGGGCAAACGACCTTCGTCTTGCAACCAAGGGGCACGCATTTGACTATATCGACCTAGGGGTGGCAAATCCGGTTCACAAACTGCTGCCTTGATAAGCCAGGTCCTTCTCGCAAGACTTGTTAAGAAAACGTTTTTGGGCCGTCGGCATTGAGTTCAGAAACAAAACGTTGGGTTCGGAAACTGGGGTTCGGAAATGGAAACTGGAGTTCGGACACTACAACGTGGTTCGGAAACTGGAAAAGTGGGTTCGGTAACAGGAAACTTAGGTTTTGGATCCCGTAGTTTCTGAACCCGCCCAAAATAGACAGTTTCTGAACCATAGTTTCTGAACCCGCCCACTTTCTGAACCCGTGGTTTAGTTTCTGAGCCCTGGATTCGGAACCCGGGCCAGCTTATGAACTTGAAGTTGCTTGTTTTCGGGCACCACACGCCATGCGATATTCAAAACAAATGAAGAGCACAATTCAGGATACGTTTCCGGCATGTGAAGCTCGCAAGGGCAAAAATGTTTGCAGATTGATGTAAGTCCCTCTCCAGGCCCGGTGGTATAACAGTCACTACAGGATTCTCCCTCTCTCTCTCTCTCTCTCGCTCTCTCTCTCTCTCTCTTAGAACAAAGACTTTGGGAGAACAGGCTGTTAACTGATGACCGGGCTAAGAATTTGTCCACGGCACTATGAGGGTTGAATCCTCCATGGCCACACCGCACGCATCTGACTCAGTGACCACTCCATCCTGTGTCATATTGACCTGTCGAGTCTGTCGAGGGCGAGACAAAGTCCTCAAGAGTCCTGTGAACAAACGCAGCCAACAAGCAAAGCAGGCATGCCTGCAAGTTGAACCAACATGCTGCATTCAGCCCCATTGGTGAGAACTCCAAGCCGGCTCCACCTGGCGCAAGAATTACAATGTTTCCCCGCTTTGCGTTTTATTGCTTAGTCTGAATCTAGCAGGCCGAGGCACTTTCGAAGCACAGCGCGGCCAGAAGTACCCCTCGCCACAGCATTTTCTCTGTCTGTGCCTGTTTGGAACCAGCTAAACGAAGTGAGAGTACAGGAACTGAGTTGAACCCCACTGCGCTAAAAACCCACTGCTGCCCAGAGGCGAGCTGCTTCACGCGAGTCCAAGCTCGCTTGCGCCCGACAAACCGAAGTCCTACTTCTCAAAGCTGGGAAATGTGACGGCCAGACGACGTCGGGCAATCCAGGACGTCAGACGACGTCGGAGACGACAGTCGGAGACATAGTGGGACACAGTTCTCAACATCTAGACACGATGCTTCAGACACTTCATACTTCGGCAGACCAGAAGATTCCTCTCAAGTCAACTGCGTGACCGTCAGACAGGTTGCTTGTTTTGGAAACCTCGCAAGCCCGCTCCAGTTGCCTACTCCGTGAATGACCACGAAAGTTGGCTTTCTGGCCTCCTCTGCGTGCAGATGGATCACTGCAAGGTCACGGAAGGTTGGGATTTGGTTTATCAATTTATGGATGTTTCATTTCTTCATTCCTTCAGCTGTCTTCAGCTTTCTTCATTCCAAAACCAAACCCCATCCGACCCATCCAAAACTAAGCAAACCCAGTGCAGGCTGCAAACCCAAGGCTTCTCATCCTGTTGCTTCAAGCATCCTTGGCTGCTTGAAGTAGCAACAACTCAAAAGCAAGACGACTGATATCTCGAAGGAGTCCCAGCTTGCAGTGCACACAACGAAACACGAGTCAAGCATAGTCAAGTTTGTTTGTTTGTTTGTCAAGCAAGTCATCCTCTGCTTTTAACAAATAAACAATCGCAAGTCTGCTTGATCTACATCTGATCATCTGCATGGTCTACATCTTTGATTTCAAGTTACGCTCTGGTCATCAGCACACCCACTGCCACACAAAGGGAAGCTGTAACTTCAGCTGTCAGAAAAAAATAGGAACATCCCAGTAGGAATGGGATATGCTACAAAGTAAACAAGCTCGTTCGCGGAAACTGAGTTGGAAGACACATTTGCTTTACTGTATTGTCTCCAAAAAAATACATCAGTTTCGCCCTGCACCATCCAAATCCTGTGCCCTTAAAAAACTTTTGAAAGGATCCTGATGCCAGCCAATTGCTGCTGTGTTGCAGCGTACAGAGATTTGGCTTTCACGTACAACGCCTTGCCCTGAGCGCTCTTGCCCCCGATTGCACAAAAGCCCTTGATGCCCAGTGCCTGCAGTAAAATTGTGAAAAACTTCAGACAAGGAGTCAACAAGTTTCTCACCTACAATACAAACCTACCAGTGTAGCCTATCCAATCAGTTCCAACTTAATCTTTTGACATCAAACACCAATGTTTTTAGCTATCGTTGTTCTTGAAAAGGTTGGTACAAAGGCCTGTATAGACCTCCCTCAGCGAGACAACCAGCTCTCCAATGGGAATGAAAAAACATGTGAGAAGGATATATTCGCTGGATGCAAGCGATTCCCGCAAAATGCAGTGCTTTAGACTTGTTCGAAGAAAGGAGGCAGTTGCTTTCATCTTCACTGGTATGTTTCACGCCCAGGTTGTTGTGGCAATACGTGTGCGTATTTTGCATTATATATAGCATATGTTCTGTGATCGTCTAACATGTATATATATATAATATATATGTATATACGGATATTTTGTCTGCTCTTGCCAGCGTCAAGATGAAAAACAAGGTCCCGGCCGATGTCTTGGCGCGAAAACGGTAAGCATTCCGAAGCAGCTCAGCTAAAGCTGGGCTCACAACATCGGCCTCCCTGTACAAAGAGTACGAATAGCTAGTGTGCCTGCGTGGTTAAGAGTTGCCGTGGGGGTTCGAAGTTCAACAGGTGTGCAGTGCTTAGAAACTTGGTATATTGCAAATGCAAGCATCAAAGAAAGACAGGTTTATTGAAAAAGGCCGTAGCTGGCACTGGTGGACTTCAGAGATGGGCTCCGGTGGTTTTCTGGTGTGCTGATGACTAGTATATAAGTAGTAGGTGGAGGCACGAGAGACAGTGTGCCGGGCGTATGTAACCACGCGCCTCTGTAGAATACCATTTCGCCTTGTTCCTCACCGCCCCCCACAGACTTTTCTTTTTCATTCAAACAACTAGGACCAATATTGTGCAAACGATTGCAATTTTGAGCGCCTGCAGATGCTGCCCACCCCTCCATCCCCTCAAACCTTTACAAAGAACTGCTGGCCACAGTCAAGAAGACATGTGAATTCGTCCTCCCAGTGTGTGGTGCAACCATTCGCGCGTAGGAAAACAAGCAACCGCAACCAGAAACAAATGTCCAGAGTTCTCAACACAAAAAGAGGAAAGGTCCACATTTGGGGAACCAAATCAATCATGCGAAGGGTTCTTCAAGTGCCTTTTTAGGCTACGGCAGATTACCCTCTTACCCAACCCCCATTTGTTTGCGGGCTACCACTCTCCAGTAACTTATATAACTGTAGAAGGATATGTATATATAATTATTGTTTTCTGGTATACAGAACTGTAGAGAAGTAGAATACACAGAATGCACATGTCCTAGGTCTTTCTCCTCAACAGCCCCTTTGTACAAATTGACTTTGGTGGACAATCACTATTGAGAAAGAGAAAATACAACATCGCTCACTTTCTGGGTTCTTGTTCTCGCTCTAAAAGCGCGCCTTTCGGGCATCCATGACGGCCTTGTTCCACTTGACCAAGGTCTTGTTGTAGCGCTTCTTCGCCGCGGCACTCGCTGCCTGGAGTCGATCCGCTTTGGGCCAAGACGGCCAAGGCAACGGAGCTTTGCTCAGCTAATATAGGAATGGCCTCCCACCTACTAGCGACGGCCTCCAACCTAGAAGCGATGGCCTCCAACCTAAGTGAGAGAACATATTCAACGTTCACCTTTGAAATGTTCAAGATTGATCAAGCGCTTGTGATCCGGTGAGCTGGTTGCATCTTCGCAATGAAGTTTGATGCTCTCGGATGATGTGTGGAAAAATACACCAAGAAAAGATTCGTCCGCCTTAGACACGACTTTTCCTCTCTTGTTCTTCATCAGCTTGTCTTTGGTCAGGCCACCCGATGTCTTCTTCTTGGAGCCTCGAAGCACCACGACCTTGCTCATCCTGCCCTGGCCAAAAGTGCAAATGATGCGCCAGAAAGGTAATTTTGCCCTGAAAAGGCCGATTGAATACATCATCGAATCTTCGAGCCGATTCAATGCTGGCACTGCGCGTTTACAATGCTGACTTCTTGTGACGTGCACCTTCGCAACTGTGGACTTCTTCATCGCCTTCTTCATGGTCGACTTCATTGCTTTCATGGCCTCAACTCACGGCAACTTAGCTGCAAATGTGAAGCAGAATCGAAACAACGCAGTTTGGCGGGCGCCTTCATGGCTTTCATAGCTTTCATCCCCTTCATGGCCTGACAAGCTCACTGGGAGTCGCAGCCCAGGTACACCCTGCAACGTATGCTTTCACTGTGTAATTATCTTGATAGGTCATGGCCTTCATCGCCATTGGCAGCACCATGCTTCCAAATGTGCAGGATGGATCCGGGACAAAACGAGGTGATGTGAGCTGAGCCGGTTCACTGCGTGCAGCCAGCTGGCCCCAAAGCGCTGAGCCAGTTTCTCACACGGACCAGTTCTTCAACGAAGCACAAGCACAGCCGGGAGTGTTTGAACAAGCCTGAACTAGACCCTCATTGAAGCACAAAAAAGAAGGATTATACATATAAATAAACCAACTGGACCCACCTCAAAGAAGCCAGAACTCGCTGACCTCAAACCAAGCACTTCACTTTAACTTGCGTTCATGAGAAAGCTCTTTGTCTCTAGTAGTTAGTAGTAAGGGGTGCGGCTGAACACTTTCAAGGCGCGTTGGATAGTTGAATCCAAAATTCCAGTTCTAATGCAACCCTCCGGCCCCCGCCTGCCGCTGTGGCAGTGTCAATCTCAGAAGCACTTAGCATGGGAGCAGCCTCTGAAAAGAAGTCTCTCGCAATGTCTAGCCATGTCTTTTGCATAGAACAAGCATCAATGAAGTCTTCTGCAATAGAGTGTTCTCTTCAAGGCTGTATATGCAAACCGCCTCAGAGTTCTATGCGCGGTGGCAGTAGTATATCCAATATATGTTTTTTTCGCTGTTGAAGCTATGGCCTCTGCTGAAGGATTACAGTAAGGGCTGGTGCGCTCCCCACCTCACTGCTGTCACCATCCAAAGATGACTGTCGCGCCAATGGATCCTCAGTCCGCTGAGGTTTTGTAGACAAACTGTTACTAGTAGCGTCTTGTTCCTAGTAGTAAGGCCAGGAGCCCCTAGTAGCATCCTTGCTCCTAGTAGCGATGCCAGGAGCCCCTAGTAGCTTCTTGTTCCTAGTTGGGCCGCTCCCGTGACATCACCTTTAAGGCTGGAGCACGCCGGAAGCCTTCTCTGGCTGCTGCCTCAAAATCATCTACAATCTCAGCACTGCCATGATCGCCTAGAACTCAGGGTGCTGCCAATGGCTGAAGCATATGCTCCGCCTCCGCTTCGGCACAGGCAAGCTCTTCCTAGGCAATGTGAGATCCGTTTTGCATAATGCAAAAAAATCGTTCACAAGTTCGCAAAGCGCCTTGGCAATGCGCTTTGCCAGAGACCGAGATGGTGCCTGCTAAGGGCCAACTCAAGGCGGTGTGTTCTTTTTTGTAAGTCGACTGCCTGTGTTCGCAGTCTACGCTTTCTCACCATTCAACACATCTCTTGCCTCGCTAGGAGAAGACGAGACCCTGAGTGGAGAATCTGTTTAGCCGAGGTTCGCAGGGCGTTGCTGTTGCATGTTCAAGCTAGCTCAAACGGGTTCAAAGGCACAAATTAGAAGCATATGCCAGTGCTTCGTGAACGCAAAGTCTCACTGCTGGTCCCTCCAAGTGTCACACAGTTGTTCTTCAGCCTTCTGGAGCTGAAGGTCCTGTGTTTGCTAGTGGGTTGATTCCAATATGAATCAAAAACTAGGACCCCAAGCGACTAGGAACAAAGGGCGTCGCTACTAGGAGCATTCTTACTACTAGTAACAAGAAGCTCACTACTAGGAGCAAAGGACGCTACTAGGAACTTTTTGGTCCCTAATGAAAGGTCATGTTCACCTTTGTACTGGCAACGGAGTGATGCAGCGATGCAAGCGCACAACACATCTCCTTCTGAGCAACTAATGTGTTCAGGTATGCGAGCTCTACCTGCCACGTCGAAGGATCAGACCTAGCTGACTCAGTTGATTTAGAGGATTCAGAAAATTGAAGAAGCGATTCTGCAGGCGGCTTTCTCACACACTAACATCGGGCAAAATCGGTGGCAAAAAAACTGGTCCAGTCCTTTGCGTCTTGCGGATTTTTCTTTTGTTCTGCTCCTAGCCTAAGTTAGCTTTTAGACATGGACGCAGAGTTCACGCTTCTTCAAGGAAGCTCCCTCTAGCCGTCTGGGCCCAAATCCCTTCGGCTCACGCCCCTTCCTGCGAGGGCCGGGGCCCTGCCGCTTGCACCGGGTGCAAGAGTGGGGCGTCCACAGACTTGCCTTTCGCCCAAGGCAAGATCGCCATGGATACCAAGGACATCATGACAGACACTCGGACAAATGCTGCAAGATGCCTCATAGAATGGGCAGTGGTGGGCTTGCCATCGACTCTCGCTTCCTCGGTGAGTGCCAAGCTGACGGCCATAGCTCATACGGGATTGCCTCGTGCGGATGACATGGAATGGGTCCTTTTTGGCGAAGTTGTTGGTGCCTGTGCTGGACCCCCCCCCACAGTTCACCTACGACGTCTTCCGATGCTGGTGAATGATCCTGAGAGCCAGAAAGGAAATTGGGACACTTGGGACCTTGTTTGCCCGACTTCCCATGACCGTGTTGACTTTTCCATAGGTATGCAGATTGGCATTTTGGCCAAGCCTTTCGACCGCCAAGCCCTGGGGAAGGTTGTTGCTAGTGAAGACGTTCCAATTTGGAATGTGCCCTCCTTTCATCAAGACCTGCCATGGAATGTATCTCACCTTTTCTCAGGTGCCTATGAGGGATGGCTACGCGCCATGTGGTGGCTCCAGCAGGCCAACCTTGGCCATTCGTTCGCCACCCACACGTCAGTTGACTGGTGTCCTCAAGTGATGAAGTCATGGAGCTACAATCATGGACACCAGCACTTTCGAGCTCCGATTGCTACCTCCTTTGACTCGAGGGAGGCCTGCACCGGGATCCTGGCTGATATCAGCGAGCCTTCCATACTTCGGGCCACGTCAAACAAGCTCAACCTGCTGATGACTCTTTCTCCACCCTGCCCTAGCTGGAGCAAAGGAGGGAAAAACTCTGGACTTGCTACTGACGAGGGATTTTGCTTCCTTGACGCTGTTGAACATGTGAGTCGGGTTCGCCCTATTCTTGCACTGTTTGAATGTTCGGATGGCCTGGAAGCTCATCCTCATTGGCGAGTCCTTTCATCCGCATAACAAAAGGCTGGCTATAAGAAGGCATGGTCGCAAGATGTTGCCTTTCACCAGCTTACTGGCAACTATCGCACACGGTGGCTGGCCATCTGGGTCAGGAAAGACATCCAGGCTTCCAAATCCTCCGAGCGGTTCCTGTGCATGATCAATCGGCGTTCGAACTGGAATGATCCGAAACATATGCATGACCTTCCTGCTACACTGGTTGAGGAGCTTACCTTGCACTCATCCCAGGAGTGCGTTTATGGGGATCGTGCTCTATTGCCTCCAGCAAAGAGGACTCGAGTTGACAGTGATGCCTCTGTACAGCACGTGCTTGAGCAAAGGCTCATCCCACACGGCGACTATTTGCCCACCCTGTGCGCGTCCTACACTGCTCAGCATCTCCTTCATCGGGAGCATTTAGAGACAAAGGGCATCTTTGCGATGTTGGTTCAGAGGGGAGAGCGATTTTCCTTTGTGGACCCCTTTGCGTTTGTCTCCCTTTTTGGGACTACCGATTCGATTGCACTACCAAAGGAACTCCGAACTGCCTTCCATCAGCTTGGGAATGCCATCTCTCAAATCCATGCTCTCATTGCTCTGCTGTTTGGACTGGAAAGCATTGGAGTTGAACGTGCACAGAAGCTCAGACTTGCGCAGCAATGTTGGGAGGAGAGACTCACCTCTGCAAATGCCATTGTTCGACAGTGTGATGATATGTATGTGTTACAGCCCTTGGCTGATTTCATTGCCAAAGCTGGACCGAGCATTGCAACGTGGCAACCATGGCTTGCAGGACAAAAGCTTATTCGGTTTTGCGACGATGCCTCGCTTATTCCACTCAACGTTGATGCTGAGCTACCAGCAGTCGGCCAAATGCTATTGAGCCTTGATCTTGGTGATCATCTAGCTCCTTGGGTTCAGCTGTGTCAGAATGGTTGCACTTTCCCTGCTGCTGCTAAATGGCAGGACTTTCCTGAAGGCGAGTTTGCTGTGAAAATTGGAACTTCGACATTGGGGACTCTGAGGGTTGTCACTGCCAGTACTCACGGTGCTGAAGCAGACCCAATTGTTTCTCCGACGCAGCCATGGAATGAGGAAGACCTTGACCCGGCTTTTGACCGTTTACAGGATGCCCACCGTGCGGGCTTCTTTCATGTCGCTGAACATCTATGCCGAGATGAGCTTCCACGTTGTTCAGGCAAGGTTCTCCTTCTTTACCAAGATGGCCAGTTTGATTGGATCGCCAGTGCGAACCTGGATCGACTTGGGGGCATTCCGCCCTTTCACTACCAGGGCAGTCGAACTCATTTCTTCAAAGTCAACCATGGTGCGTGTCAACATCTCCTTGGTGTACCAGCTGTTATGGCAATCCAAGGAAGTTATGACCCCACTGGGCCCAACAAGTGGGTTTTGCTTGCCGGGGGCCAAGACCTTCGATGGTGTAAAATCTGCCAGGTACCACGAGTAGCCACACCACGACAATGCGATGAGCTGTTACAACAGCAGTGTCATATCTCCATGAGGAACTTGATCGAATGCCGTGGTGACCAGCCTATGATGCTTGTCAATGGTGATGTCCTCTGGAGTGACACAAGGGTCCAGAATGTGATGTCCATTGCCTTTGGAGGTATGGATCGACTCTCTGAGAACCCAAGCTGTAACGTCCACAACGATGAGGTTGCAGCCCGGCTGCTCCAGTTCAATATGGAACCAGGTGAGATTGGGCTGGATGAGATGCTCTTTCACTTTGACACTCTGCAGATTCTGATGCCAGCCATTTGCTGGTGCCCCCCTGGCATGTGGGTGAATCAAGAAGCACAATTTCGGTTGCCTACAGAGCCTCAAGACCTCCAAAGATGCTATCAGCACTTTGTCGTTCCGATTCTTGTGCTGTTTGATTGAATTTTTGTGGAGGTGAGATTCTTTGAAGGGCAATGGAGGGTGCTTTATCACTCTCCTGAGCAGCTTACCATTCGGCAGACCAATGCTGTACTTGAGCTCATCAACACTATGGGTGTACCAGTAGCGCCGAATGCCTACAGATGGATTCGAACTCCGGAAGACAATGATTTGGCTCCATGGCACACCCTGAGGACCTTCTATGCTCCAGAATCACACAGAAGCTCCCAGTGGCTGCAAAGGTCACAGTATGCTGCTCATATCATGCAAGTGATTGATCAGGCTGACCTTGTTTGGAGGGACACCCAAGCAAATGATCGGATGGTACAATTTGCCAGGGCATGTCGTGGGGCCTTCCTTATTGCCATTACTGAGTCCCCCAGCCGTGCACGTGATCTTCTTTTGAGAGCTACTGGGAGACCACTGCCGGTGTATGATATTCGTGAGATCTTCTTTCTTGCCGATGATTGGTTGGACATGCGCCTCAATATTTATCGCACTCACCCCGGGTGGGCTACCAGTGATGAGATTGAGTTTATCCTGTCCTACTTCCTCCCGGAATCCTTCTGCCCACCAGTTCTGCACCATGATCTTTCACTGATTGCTGCTGGGGTCAAGATTCCGTGTGATGAAGTCCAGAGATTCGTTGCGCTACGGGAAGGGCATTGGGTTGGTATTGAGATTGTCTGCAATGCTACCGAGCACACGTGCCGCGTTGTGTTTCTGCAGGTTCCACCTCGTGATCAGCAGTTCTGGCACGATTTCGCTGTTGATCATATTATTCCTTTTGGGTTCAGGCCGGTCATTATTGTTGACACCAATCGAACTCGGCCAGGAATGTGTGGGTGGGAGCTTCTCCACCGGTGGATTACTGTTGACATTCGCCTTCCTGATGCTCTTCATGTACCACACCCCAAGAGACTCATTATTGACACCATTATTCAAGAAGCCAATGTGGCCTGGCGTCTAGCAGGTGCGCCTCCAATGCTACGCACTTTTGCTGAGCAAGTTCGCCGACTTTTCCTCGTGGTTGGTGGCGTGCACCTCCTTCAGCCCTGCTCGGCCGTTTCTCTTGGGGGCATGGAAGGTCAAGCTAGTCCAGATGCCCCCATGCCCGCTGACCCCTGGCAGACTGATGATCCCTGGAAGGCCAAAAAGAAACAAGTCAAACAGAGCAAGTGGGAGGATTTGCAACTACAGTCTGACCACCCCTTCATCGCCAAAGACAAGACTCCGATTCCATTTGTGCAGAAGCAACAGCTTTCGACCAATCGAGGTGGTATTGCCTTTGTGTCAAAGGGAAATCTTCAGCAGGCCCGAGAGATTACGCCAAAAGAACCGTGTGCGCTTCTCCTCCCGCTGATTGACCCCACAGATCCTTTGAGCAAGCTGCCTGGCCTATCAGGGCCATACGAAGTGATTGTCTTTGATGCCGCGATGAACCAGGAATACAAACGTCAGGTTCACCTTCTTGTGGTCACTCCGGAGGTTACCTTTGCGTTGCCAACACCTGCCATTACCTTGACCCTCGCGGCAGTCTGTGAGATCGTCCTGGAGTGTGATGCGCGGCTGACAACTAAGGATGTCTTTCAGTCCTTCTACAACAATCCATTGGCCAAGTTCAAGGCTCAGCTCAAAGAAGTATGCTCAGACCCAATCTGGGGCCATGCTGCCATCTATGGCTATCGGGCTGTCCAAGAGCAATCCAAGGAGAAGCATGATCTTGTTCACCAGTGTCTTCTCAAAGTACAGCAAAAGCACAGGGTTCCTCTGCTTACTGCAAGTGGAAATGGAGATCTTGTTGTCCGCGACTTTGTTGCTAAGGGTGAGCAGGTCCAGGACCTCTCCATCATTCCGAG